TTCTGTGACTCTGTGTTCAGTTGAGCTTTGAGTATATCCAAGGACAGAGACTCCACAAGCTCTCTGGTCAACTTGTTCCAGTGTTTGATCACCCTTGGTAAAAAAAACTTTTTTCTTACGCTTAAACAGAATTTCCTGAATTTCAACTTGTGCCCATTGCATTTTATACTGTCACTCTGCACCACTGAGAAGTATCTGTCTGAGTCTTCTTTATTCCCTCTGATCAGTTATTTGAGAGCCTTCTTTTCCCAAGGCTCAGTAATCCCAGCTTTCTCAGCCTCTCCTAATAAGTCAGGTGCTCCGAGCCCTTAATCGGTTTCTCAGCCCTCACTAGACTTGCTGCAGTATGTCCATGTCTCTTGTCCTGCGGAGCCTCAGAACTGGGTGCAGTACTCCAGCTGCGGTCTTCAACAGCATCGGATCACCTCCTTCGGCCTGCTGACAGCATTCTTCCTAATGCATCCCAGGACACTGCTGGCTTCCTCTACCACAAGGGTATAATCCTGGCTCTTAGTCAAGTCATTGCCTACCGGGACCCCATATCCTTCTTTGCAAAGCTGCCTTCCAGCCAATCTATCCCCAGTCTGTACTTGTGCATGAGGTTATTCCTCCCCCAGGTAAAGGGCTTAGCATTTGTCTTTGTTGAACTTCATGAGATTCTTAATGGCCTATTTCTCCAACCTGATGAGATCCCTCTGAACAGCAGCACAACCATCTGGCTGCTTCTCCCTGTTTTGTATCATCTGCAAACTTACAAAGGTTTAAATGGATGTTAAATAGTATTTGCTTCAGTACCAATCCTTGGGGTACACCACTAGTGACCAGCTTCCAGCTGGATATCATGCTGTTAATCACAACCCTTTGAGCCTGATAGTTCGGCTAGTTTTCAGTCTACCTCACTGTTCACTTACTTAGCCCATGCCTCAGCAGTTTGCCTGACGATATTATGGGATAGTCTCAAAAGCCTTGCTGAAGTCAAGATAAACATCCATTGCTCTCCTCTCATCCACCAAGCCAGTCATCTCATTGTAGAAGGCTGTTAGATTGGTCGAGCATGATTTCCCTTTCAAAAATCAACACTGACCACTCCTAACCACTTTCTTGTCCTTCACGTATTTGGTAATTGTTTCCAGGATTATTTGCTCCATCATCCTCCCAGAGATTGAGCCAAGACTGACAGACCTATAATTCCCTAGATTCTCCTTCTTGCCCTTCTTCAAGATAGGAAAGACATTCACTCTCTAGTCCCTAGGAACCTCCCCTGATCTCTCTCAACTCTTAGACACTGCCTAGAGTGGCCTCACAATCACACAGGCCAGCTCCCTCAGCACTCACGAATGCAGCCCACCAGCTCCCTTCTCCAAGTTGTTTAAATGGTCCCTAACTTGATCCTCCTCTACTGAGGGGTAAGTCTTCCTTGTTCTGTATTTTCCTACTGGTCTCAGAGGCCTGGGATTCCCAAGAGAAAACCTTATCCGTAAAGTAAGAGGCAAGGAAGGTACTCGGTACCACAACCTTTGTGGTCACCTGCTCCCCTGCCCCATTCAGCAGCAGTCCCAAATTTTCCCTAATCTTCCTTTTGCTGCCGATATATCTACATTAAAGTCATTCTTGTTGCCCTTCACGTTCCCTGTTAGATTCAGGTCCAGTTGGGCTTAGGCTTTCTTAACCCCACCCTACATGCTGAGACAGCATCTCTATATTGCTGCTGAGTCACCTGACCCTGCTCCCATCCACCTCTTGTATGCTTCCTTTTTCTGTTTGAGCTTTGTGGGAAGTTCTTTCGTTCATCCATGAAGGCCTCCTGCCACTTTTGCCTGACTTTCTGCTCATTAAGATAGGCCATTCTCAAGCTTGGAGGAGGCGATCCTTGGAAAGTCACTGAGCTCTTCTGGACCTCTCTTCCAGGACCATAGTCCGCAAGATTCTTCCAAACAGATCTGCAAACTGGTCTTTAGGCTCTCCTGAAGGCCAGGGCTGTGATCCCACTTTCTACCTAGTTCCCTCCTCTCAGGATCCTCAATAGTCACTGCACCCAAGGCTGCCCCTGACCTTCCCATCTCCAACCACTTCTTTGTTGTCTGTATTAGGTCCAGCAAAGGACCTTCCCTCATTGACTCCTCAGTTATGTATGCCAATAAGTTATCACCAGCACCCTCCAGAAACATCCTGGATTGCTTGTGCCCTGCTGCATTGCCCTTACAGCGCATCAGGCAGTTTGAGTCCCCCAGGAGGACTGAGGCCTGTGAACACAAGGCATCTTCCACTTGTCTGAAGGAGGCCTCATCTACTTCTTCTGCCCGATCAGGCAGTCTGCAGCACATACCCACCACAACGTTGTACACATTGGTCTGCCTGCTAATCCTGACCCATAAGCTCTCAACTGGTTCATCATACATCTCAAGGCAGAGCACCACGCATTCCAGCTGCTCTCTCACACAAAGGGCTGCTTCCCCTCATCACCACCCTGGCCTGTCCTTCCTAACAGGCCTGTGTCCAGTCCATGGCAGCACTCCAGTTCTGGCAGCTGTCCCACCACATCTCTCTGATCCCAGCGCTATCACAGCTCTGCCACTGCACACAGACCTCTAATGCCTCCTGTTCATTCCCCATGTTGCATGCATTAGTCTACAGGCACTTCAGAGAGCCACCTGGTCATGTTGACTTCCCAGCAAAAGGGTAAGAGATTCCCTTATAACACTGCTCTCATCACTTTTGTACGTAATGTAGAGGTAGATCCCCTTCAGGCCTGTCTTGTTGATTTGAGGGTGCCTCTCATCCACATGCTCTACACCCTTTGCTTGCCAACCCGGCCAACCACTTCCTCACTTGGAGACACGATCACCCTGCCGTGTTGATTCCTATGAAAAATTAGATCAGACACCTCCAACAATTTGGGAACAAACATGGTATGGGGTTTGATCACCACCCTCATTCTGTAGCGTACTGCGTAAGAAAGGTCAGCCCAGAAGCTTGGCATTTGCTGACTTAACAGAAAACCAAAAGGGCAGTTTTGTGAGCAAAGCGGCATGAGCGGCATTCTGAGGCTCGCTTCAGGTTTGTCAGCTCTGAGAACACACTCTGATTTGTTCTCATGCCTTTAACTGCTGTCATTAAATATGCTGAACGATGCAATACTCAGCTAAGCAGTGGCTTACCACAGTGAACTACGTAAAACTACTTGGTGCCCAACACTGAGTGTTTCCCACCTGCCAGCTCTGGTGATTTAAGACTTACACTATCCACGAGGTCTGCTCCAGTACCTGATGATTTAACAGTGGTAAGATTTAAAAGCCTTATGATAATGCATAGCTACCCTCTCCAAAAATAAACAGAAATTCAAACCTGACGTTTATTCAGGACCTCAATTTAAACGGCCAGGCCTTACTACAGATTCAGCGCTCTGACTGATTGTCGTATATTACTTCTACTCCAAACTGTGTTTCAAAGGCCCTAAGAACAAATACGTTTCTTCAGCCTCTAACTGTAATTACGCGGTCTGAACTTTTCTAGGTCTTTCTACACTCCCTACAGTACAAAAGCCATCTCATCTCCTCCTCCTCAACAGGTCTTCCAGTAGGCACTGTTGGGTCATGTCACTGCATTTTCTGCTTATGACATACAAGCACCTGTGCATCCACTACAGTACCCAAGATCTAGTTTGTTGTAACTGTATAACTGACTTGTCTGCACTTTTCCTGGATCCAAATGCATGCAGTATCTTACTTGTCTACCTTCTTGCAGCTTTAAAAAAAAAAAAAATCATTCATTAAAGAGATGCAATAGTAATAACCATCTTTGTATCAGCATATTTTTCCCTATTGACATACATGACATTGTGATAACTGAGACAATGCTGGTTTTAAAAACTATTCTGTGCATTTTATAAGCAGCATACATAAGCAGCCTGCACATAAAATCCACTGAAGAGTTGGCTTGAAACGAGAAACTAAGGTTAACCTTAGTTATAGAATCATAGAATCATTTAGGTTGGAAAAGACCCTTAAGATCATTGAGTCCAACCGTAAACCTAACACTGCCAAGTCCACCACTAAACCATGTCCCTAAGCGCCACATCTACAAATGGTGTATGGTGGGATTCTCCACAGCGAAAGCAGCATATGCTTATCTAATAGGTATTTATAAAACACAAATATCCACATTATTTGGGCGCTGACAATAGTAAAATGAGAGGGAAGATGCACCTATATTATAATAGTTCTATACCCACACACAAGTTAGTATTTTAAGGTTTGGTGAAAGTATTTTAATTATATATACATACATACAAGCATTATACTGGCCTTTCATATGCAGAGATGAAAACTAAATGATAAATATGCTTACTGTATGCTTCTGTCTCTTGGCGTTAACTTTTTCAAACCAACACTAAACTCTAATGCAGGTATATAGCAAGCAATTAGTATACAGTGCTATGGGGGGGGGGGGGGGGGGGGGGGGGAACGCGGAAGAGTAGTAAGCAGTCTTTTCTA